CAGCTTTGCCGCCCCCTGACAACCTGTCTAAAAAATAACATGCAGCTACTTGGGGTCTTACTCCAGGAAGCATTCGGCAGACTGTACCGCTACCAAACAGCCCATTTCAAATGAATGAAGCCACACTGTAATGCAAGCCAAACACTTGGCTCCTGGTTTGGTGCAGTATTACATAGAAAAACACAGCAGGCAGCAGCATCACCTTCTGAATTGTCAAACAAAAAATACCTGTTCACTGTGCTTAGTGGAAAAATTTCACAGCTGAGCTCAAACATCCTGTGTGACAATAACAAATTAACAAAAGATTGTTGAGCTGTGTAACAAATTGCTTCCACGGAGATAAATAGTGAGTATATAAATAATATATATTTTTTGCGTTGAATATTTTCAGCTAATTGTTTTCAAACACAATATTTGTGAATGAATTGACAAGAAGTCCATAAATAAATCACAAGTAAATCCTGTGAAACATAGGGGTTTATTTACTAAAGCTGGAGAGTCCAAAATCAGACTCCCTTCTGCATAGAAACCAATCAGCTTCTAACCTCAGCTTGTTCAATGAAGCTTTGGCAATGAAACGTGGAAGCTGATTGGTTTCTATGCAGAAGGGAGTCTGATTTTGGACTCTCCAGCTTTAGTAAATAAACCCCATAGTGTCCATCTGTTAAATTATCCAGTGAAATGTGAGTTCTACCACCACAAAAAACACAGCTTCTTACCAGTTCTAAAGACCTCAAATTATGGGAGGTCTGATACGGTTCAAGCTGTGTATATTGCGATCCTCAGTCTCCACCACAAAATACCGCCAGCCAATCACAATCTCCTCTTCCTTCTGCCCTTTACAGAGACTCAAGTACAGGAAAGAGGCAGATACCAATAGTGAAGCTCCACAGATAAATATTAATAAAAGTCAGAATCCTACTTACAATAGTAGAATGTTAAAAATCACATGTAGTGTTCACAACGCCGCTATAGCCGACTCCAGCAAGTGTGAATGATGTCAGCACAGACTAAGACATACATTTGGTCTAAACAGACATTGATAAGGGGCCAGTCTATCGTTCCAACGTAACCTCTGATTTTATTTATTTTATATATATATATATATATATATATATATATATATATATATATATATAAAATATATATATATATAAAAAAATAAAAATAAATTGCACATTAAGATAACAAAACAATTTCTCTCATTTGCTATTGGCTCACTTATTCGGGCTCATATCTTACATCAGTAAAGATGAACATATTAATATAACTTGTAAAATGAAATCAATCCATTAAACTATTTAATAAATCCACCAGTCATTCTGATCCTCACTTCATTAGAAGTGTTCACCACCCCCCCCCCCCCCCCCCCCCCCCCCCCCCCCAATGTATAAAGATGCAATTATTCCTAAGCTGTATATCAAGCCCTTTCTTAAATAAGAATATATGAGAGAGAAAATTAATTTCCTCACCTATTACAATAAAAATCATATATCCACTAACAAAAATTAATTACTCTACCAATTAAAATAATCGTATGTCAGTAATAAAAAATATTACTATACAATACCCATTTTGTAAAAACTAAATAATTTTATTTAAATTTTCCAAATGGCTATTATTATAATAGTATTTTTTTTTTTTTAATTACAGACATGATTATTTTAATTGGTAGGGCAATTAGTTTGTTGTGGATATATGATTTTTATTGTAATAGGGGAGGAAATTAATTTTCTCTCTCCATATATTCTTATTAACCACTTGCCTACCGGACACTTTCACCCTCTTCCTGCCCAGGCCGATTTTAGGCTTCAGTGTTGTCACACTTTGAATGGACTTGACATTTGCATGGACATGTACATACTGTACCCATATGAGATTTTGTAGCATTTTTTTGGGACCGAGATTTCTTTTGGTTGTATTTGATCACCATTAGGTTTTTTAATTTTTTGCTAAACAAACGAAAAAAGACCAGCAATTTTGAAAAAAAAAAAAATGTTTTTCTTAGCTTCTGCTATACAATTATGCAAATAAGTAATTTTTCTCCTTCACTGATGTAGGCTGATGAGGCTGCACTGATAAAGAAGCACTGATGAGGCTGCATTGACATGCAGCACTGATAGGCACAAATGATAGGTGACACTGATGGGCACAGATAGGCAGCACTGATGGGCACTCATGGGGTTGTTCTGGTTATCAGTGTAGATGTTCTGTGAGAATCGCCAGTCACAGTTTCTCTGCTCACGCTGTTATAGCACATGGGGAGGAGACTGCCGATAACCAGCAAGTCTTTTTACACTGATCAGCTGTAATTTGACACAGCTGATCACATGTTAAGGGCTGCTGTGATTGGCCCTTTACCTTGCTTTCTGTGATCAGCTGTGTCCTAAGCACACAGCCATCACAAAGCACTGCTGAAGTGTGCCCTGGGGGCACGCGGGGGGGAGGGGGTGCTCTGGGAGGACATCAGTAGAACCAGCCAACCATGCCTTAGCCGTCTTTCGGCTATAGCACGGTTAAAGAAAGGGCTTGATATACAGTTTAGGAATAATTGCATCTTTATACATTGGGGGGTGAACACCTCTAATGAAGTGAGGATCATGATTGGTGGACCTAATAAACAGTTTAATGGATTGATTTAATTATACAAGTAATCTTAATATTTTCATCTTTACGGATGTAAGATATGAGCCCGAATAAGTGAGCCAATAGTAAATGAGAGAAATTGTTTCCTTATCCTAATGTGCAAATTTTTCTATATATAAAGCAGAGGTTACGTCGGCACGATAGACTGGCCCGTTGACAATGCCTGTTTAGACCAAATGTACATCAGGGGGTCTGTGCTGACGTCATTCACACTTGCTGGAGTCGGCTACATCGGTGCTTTGAACAATACATGTGATTTTAACATTCTAGTATTGTAAGTAGGATTCTGACTTTTCTTAATAAATATTTATCCGTGGAGCTTCACTATTGGTATCTACCTCTTTCCTGTACTTGAGTCTCTGTAAAGGGCAGGAGGAGGACATCGCGATGGCGGTATTTTGTGGTGGAGACTGAGGATCGCAATATACACAGCCTGAGCCGTATCTGACCTCCTATAATTAGATCTGGTAAGAGGCTGTGTTTTTTGTGGTGGTGGAACTCACATTTCACTGGATGATTTAACAGATGGACACTATGGGGTTTATTTACTAAAGCTGGAGAGTCCAAAATCAGACTCCCTTCTGCATAGAAACCAATCAGCTTCTAACCTCAGCTTGTTCAATGAAGCTTTGGCAATAAAACCTGGAAGCCGATTGGTTTCTATGCAGAAGGGAGTCTGATTTTGGACTCTCCAGCTTTAGTAAATAAACCCCTATGTTTCACAGAATTTACTTTGGATTTATTTATAGACTTTTTTTGTCAATTCATTCAAAAACATTTTGTTGAAAACAATTAGCTAAAAACAGTCAACGCATAAAATAGCGGTTGCATATATATTTGTTTATATACTCACTAATTATTTATCTCAGTGGAAGCAATTTGTTACACAGCTCAACAATCTTTTGTTAATTTGTTATTATCACCTTCTGAATGCCTGGTAGCCAGCCACTGCTTTACCACCCTCTGAAAATCCACTAACCACAGATTGCTTTTCTGCGAACGAGCCCTAAATATGGAGAGATTCTTATTCTTACACATGCCCATTACTAACTAGCTCTCATCTGATGTGGAGAAGATACCAAACATTGAGCACCACATGTGGATCACAACCCACTAGCTGGGCACCAAAACCCATTTTTTTCTCTCTCTGAACAATGCTCCATTAACCCATTCCATGTTAAGTAAGTAATTTATTTCCAAGGATCAGAAAAAAATGGTTGCATTGTCTACATTGTAAAAACTATAGTAACCTGCTATACATTTTGCCGGTTAACACTGTAGCTAACATCTAGGTGGGAAGAGAGAGGGCGGGGGAAAGCATTGCTTTAAGATATATTGCATACAATGTGAAATCAACATGGAAAAATGAAGATTGGAGGAAAAAAAAAAAAAAAAAAAGATAAAAAGGAAAAACAAAACAAAAAGGGAGGTGTATTATTACAAAGATCCAGGAAACAGAATTTTAACCACAATATTTTCTCTGTGAAAAATACAACTATTCGTGAGATAAAATGTACAATTGATTTTCTTTAAAGAAAAAACACAGTATAAAGGAAAATAGTTTTCTTCAAAACAGGGAAAATAGTCAACGTCATTTTTTTTTTTTCATCCATTATAATATAATTTGACACAAAAAGCAGTCAAAGGATTGCACCAACTCCGCGTTCAGTCTCCTGAACAAAAAGACAACTCATAAAAGGAGTCCGTAAAGCATAATGATTTTTCTTCTTCTACGTTTTAATCACGGTGGCTATTTTTATTTTATTTTTTTTTTTTAACGTGATGTATCGCAAAACTCTGTTTTACAAAATGTACAATATCCTATGTGTGTGGTGGGCTGTAAATAAAATAAAAAAGCAGATATTGTTCTTGTACCTCCATCTTAAACCATTTTGTTTTAAGCGGATGTGAAAAAAGTTGGATGAGGGAGAGAAGTGAGTTTTTACAGAGACAGGAGGAACAAAAAATTGTAGTAAAGCAGTTTAAGTGTTAACGCTATAGGAATAAAGTCATTCTATAATTTAGTGCATGCTGTTTATCATTTTTTTTTTTTGCCATGGAAAAAAAAAAAAAAGCATTACCCAATAGTTTACAAAAAAATAAAAACGTGCCATTTCTGTCACCCAGGCATCTCTGGGTTTTTAGTTAGCCAGCGAAATATCCCTGGATTTGGGAGACAATGCTGCGCATTCACTGACAGTCTACAGCAATGTATATGTGACTTCCAAGTCCTTTGTCTCCTCTTGCAGTATGTTAGTGCTGTTGCATGGTATACACTGGAAAGGAGGGCAGGACAGCCTTAGGAAGGGGGAAAAAAACAAAAAAAACAAAAAAAGGAAAGAAAGGATCGGGCTTTAAGAACATGTCTGTTGCACCCGTGTCAAGAGTTCACCAAATTTTTCAAAGAGTTCCTCCACCCACTTCATTTTTTTCAGACAGTGGTTAACAAGTTCCACTTGTTGTAGGTCCCGGTTTTGATTTCTGAACAGAGGTAACCTGGGGAGGTTAGAAAAAAAATAGTCAGATATTCAAAATCACATATCATACCTAATACTACGGGCAAACCTTTTTTTCTTTTTGTTTATAAGAGGGCAGGGGAGTGGATTTACATTATATAACACAGGAAACTGCAGATAACTGCTGAGGAAATATTACATTTTAATATATCCATCTGTTCCTAATTGTTAAAGACATGAGCAGTTTTTCTTTTGTAAAATAAATCTTCTTTTAAAATTACTTTTTTTTTATTCTGCTGGTATGCTCAATTCATATAGTAAGTCCTAGAGTGCTAGGACTTAAATGCAATAGTGCCCTCTCGAGTTCAAGCCTCAACTTGCAAAATCAGTCATACAAGGAAACACAAAACAATACAGTGTATAGCAGTTATTTCTAACCTGGCAAGTAGAAATGTGGGACTAGGCTGGCCGTACATTATACAATTTTCCTTTCAATTTACCAAAGCCATAGAATATGAGATCAAACCTAAACACTTCCAATTTGCATGCAATCAGGAAGGCCCTTGCACTACATATTTAAATCTAAAAGAAATTTAATGAGAAAATTGTATAATGTATGGCCAGCTTAAGCCAGCTTTATTTCTAATGGTACTAGCTTCATGATCGTCAATATTTTGTCTCCTCACCACTGTGCAAGTCCTCCGCCTGGAATAAGTTACGTACTCATTTGGGGTCCTCACAATTCACTACCCTGTTCTTAAGACTGTAACCTTTCTCAGGCTCTCTTTTCCCTCCTTGTCATTTCTTAGTATTTGTATGGTCTGGAATCTGCGATTCAAATCCTATAACTATCTTACAACACTGAGTAATATTTCAGAATTTTATAAATTGTGTAAAGGATTACTTCAGGCATGCACTTTTGAACACAAAAATCAGAAATAATGATTTCTCCCGATCAAGTCATGTTAGATGAAGTAAATTTTTCATTTTGTTCTCATGCTAGTCTCGTCTAACAAAGTGAATGTAGGATACTACAATACCCTCCATTAAACCCGAAAGGTTTGTTATATACAGTATATGAAAACCAGCATCTGACCAGTGCTTGCAACCAATGGCAGCAAGTGTGATCAGTGTGTTCTGGCAGGAGGTTGGGGGTACCTCAGTCAGAATACAATAGCACAGCGAGAGAGAGAGTGCCACGCTAACATTGCTTGTGTTAGCACGGTGATCTCTGTTTTTTTCTTCTCATTCTGCCTGCTGCGTTGAAAGAAAAAAAAACAAAAAAAAAAAAAAAAAAAAAAAACTTCTTCTGTGTACCCGGCATACGTGCCAGCAACGATGGGCTTTTGTTCAGACAGGTTTTGAATTCTCATGCAGGTCAGTAGGTGGTCATCCACAGGACAAGTCCACCAGTCAAATTCTAAAAGATCTCAGAATTGTCTCAAATCAATGTCAAACTGAAGCACTGACACAAACCCAAAGCCCATAGACACATTCCCTAAGAGCGACAAACAGTGAGACCATTTGACCATTAGATGTTCCGAAGTCATGGCCAACCATATGAACATTTATTTTATCACATGCCATATCTGTGTAACGTAAGTGCTTCTTTGAGTCAGCCCAACTGACAAACTATATACAGGACCACCCCATTTAATTACAGACACCTACCAGATTTACTTTACCATATATTTCTACTACAAAGTGTTTTTTTTCCTTTTTCAGAGGTTTACTAAATTCTATGGGTATATTACCCTAGGCTTACATCTAAGTGGCTCTAAGAGCTGCGGTTTGTGGAGGCATGGCAGCCCATTCATTTGAATAGGCTGCTGTGCCTCCTAAACCGCCTCTCACTGTATTGGGAAATTACAGACAGGTGGGAGTTCTCTTGTTCTGAGAGGACATCACATGACATCCTCCCACTCTAGCCACACATGCATGTCCCTGGGGGAGCGCGGTGATCGGTGGTGCGCTGACACAGCGGATCACCTCTTATGGTAAAGAGCCAATACCGTAGTCTCTTTACTATGTGTGATGCTGGGTCCAATCACAGCTGGTCACATGTAAACAGAAAATGCCGGTTATCGGCAGTCCTCTCCTCACGCTGACGACGAGTGAGGAGAGGGAAAGTCGATAAGAGACAATCCTTAGAGGGGACATCTGCACTGATCAATAGTGCCCTGATTATCAGTGCCACCTGTCAGTGGCCATCAATGCCGCCTCATCAGCGCACATCAGTGAGGAAAAAAATCACTTATTTACAACATTTTATAACAGAAACTAAGAAAACTCCCAAATTTTTGGTCTTTTTTTTATTTGTTTGTTTAGCAAAAAAATAAAAACCCAGTGGTGATTAAACACCACCAAAAGAAAGTTCTGTCTAATATAAAAAAATAAATATAAAGTTTGTTTACAGTGTTGCATGGCCGCACAATAGTCATTCAAAGTGCAACAGCATTGAAAGCTGAAAATTGGCCAGGGGCAGGGATGGTGTGAAAGTGCCAGTAGGCAACTGGTTCAATGCAAAGGAAAGGTTCCTGCAGCATTTTAGAAATCACAGAGTGTAGTGCAGCTCCCAGTGTGGAAATGATTTTCAGTACGTGTGGCATGCCATTAGGATTAACAGCACCCGCATGCATCTCCTGCGTTTCTATGCGGGTGGTTGCGGCCGCAACAGGTGTGGTCCTGCAGCGGCAATCACCTGCTCAGATGTAAACCTAGCCATAAGACACGTGCTTTATTTTATAAAATGTTTTGCATCTACAATTGAACAGAAAATTCAAAAGTACTTACCTCATCTTTGCATATAAGATATATGTAGGTACTTGTAAATGATAAAGTGAATACAGCTGAGATTTCTCTGGCTCGATGGTGAACCCAAAGACAAAAACATGCAATGATAGAACACCACCAAGCCTAAAAGCTGATACTTAAAAGGCAGAAACTATACGTAACAAAAAGAAAAGCGCCCATGATTTCTGCTGACATTTGAGAGATTTATAAGTGTCAACCAGTAATTTATAGTGCAAGGTTAGCTGCAACGAAACATTACTTTGACAGTGTAGGAGATGGAGAAAAAAAAAAAAAAAAAGTAAAATCTAGTTTATAAAAGTCTACACTGTTTATTTTCCTATATAGCGCACAAAATTCGGCCAAAAGTATGCAGGCGGACTCCATCCAAATCAATGAAGATGTTCTCAGTGAAGAGTACGTTGAAGCACACAATTGTGTTCTTCAAAACTTTGGCGAAGGTTGAGGGAAGAACCTTTCTGTTCCACCATCACTGTGCCCCTGTGGACAAAAACCTGATCTAAAAAGAGCAGGTTTTGTAGTTTGGTGTGGAGGAACTGAGGTGGTCTACAAAGAGACCCAACTCAACTCTAGTGAACACTTTTAGGATGAAAATTGTTGTTTTTGACTGTAAAATGAAATAAAAAACAAGAAGCGCACCAAAGCGCATTACCTCAGCGACCAAAATTTATTACTTGTAAAAAACATACTCACAAACAGCGAATAAAATCAGGCATGTAAGTCCTCTCAGGGACTTGAAGATAACATGTCCCATCAGGGGAATAGGTGTTCAGTACAGTGTTTCGAAGGGAGTCCCTTCTTCCATCAGAGCTAAAACATACGTGCACCCCTATATATACCCATATCTCTGGACTAAAAATAAGCCCTCCCCGGGTGGGCATTTCAGGATAGTAGGGGGGTTCATAAACTAACCATCAATATTTACAATGCATTAGAGAGAGATATAACATATAAATTATAAAATGAATAAAATATACATAGAGAACATAAAAAACCTATATAAAATATGTATCTTAAAAATATATATATATAAAAAAAAAAAAAAAAAAAAAAAAAAAAAAAAACCATATATTGCATACGCGGTGTGCAATCACCTGCTCAGGGGAGATAATGGTACAAAACATTGTCATGCCGTGTTGCATTACACGTGTCCCATGGATACTTCATCCAAGTTTGTCATATGAAGACAAGACCATTATCTCCTCTTGTCATCTATAATCAAAAAAAATTGAAAAGGGAAAATTAGATGCACACCAAGTCTTTGCATATAATATATATATTGGTAAGATACATTGTAATGGTGGATGTTCTCATGTATAAAGTGAATACAGCTGATATTTCTCTGGCTTGATATTGGTTAGAACTCCTGGTATAAAACAAAGTCCAGACAAAAGGACATGCATGGTTCATGATAGAACAAGGGACTCAAACCAAGCCTGAAACCTATTCCCCTGCTGGGACTCACTATCTTCAGGCAGAAACCTGATTTTACGCTGTTTGTGATATGTTTTTTAAAAGTAATAAATTTTGGTCGCCCATGAAATTTCTGCTTCATTTTTTTTTAGAGATTTCATAAGTGTCAACCATTCCAGCCTTGGTTTGGATAGTGCAAGGTTAGCTGCAACGAAACATTACTTTGACAGTTTTTCGGAGATGGTGTGATTGAGAGAAAAAACAAATGCCAAAGTAAAATCTAGCCTTTTATAAATAACTGCAAAATGGGGCCATATTACTGCCAATGGTTTTTGAATGGGATGTCCAGCAAGCTCATATTGGCAAAATGGTCAAATGTCAACAAACATTCGGCCATATAGTGTAAGTTACACTGAGGGGGTCAAAAGGTACCAAAAAGCCCTGCATTACAATACTGCACCAAAGTGCCTTCTTAAAAAATACATGGGCCACAAATGATAGAGGTCTGGCTTTTTCTGGCTTGGGTACTTCCTCAGTCATTCACATTAAAGAATATATGTAGGTAGTGAGTGCTTCTGATCTCAATGCTTGTGAAAGAAAGTAAGTCACAAGACTCTACATTGGCATGAAAGCCAGGGAACTAGCATTTTTAGAAAATTCAGTACAGGAGTTGTTAAAAGAATACAAAAAGTAATAAACTGAAGTTTCAAAGTTGTATTGTTTAGTAGTTTTGCATTATAAAAGTGACACATCACCCCTCCACTACCAATGACCAACTACATCAACAGACAAATATAGATTTAAAAATAATTGGGACTTTAAATGTAGACAAATTCCATTCTTATACAAGCATTTGTTTTCAGTAAAATTCATACCACAAAAATATGAATCCATTATAAAAGGGTGATCTTTGTCATAGAAAATGTCTTTTACCACATACTAATGACATCTTCCAACAGAATATATTGCACATCTTTACTAAAGATGTAGCAACTCTGTACATGTTTCCTTCAGGAGAGCATAAGTACATGGTAGGTATAGAAGCAAACCAGCCTAAATTTACAAAAAAAAAAAAAAAAAAAAAAAAATTCATGGGACTTGCACCGCAGATCCTCTGACTGTAGGATAAATGCCTAAAAAAACTCCATATTTTTACATAGGATCCTCAGGAGTCTTTCAGATGACCAGGCATGACCACAGTTGCAACTGAAAGCCAAAGCAAACCCACATACACAAAACTTACCTGTGACTGCTTTGAAGTTTTAATTGGCCGCATAGTCTTCTTATTATACCACTTGCCATACACTTTTATTTTACACACAGGTACCCCTCCTGATTTTCCTTTTACTTCACGATTAATTGTAGTTATATCTGGGTAGTTTTCAAGGGCATTCTATAAAGAGAATAAGAGAAAAAAAAATCATGTGTTAATTCACACCACACTATAAATTGTAGTAGGTTTCACAAATTCCCAAGCATAGCAGACATGGAGGCCGGCACTGAGAACAGGCACAACTGGAGGGATGACATTTTTTGTAATAGCACTGGCAGCAATGAATGCAGGGACTCCTGTCTAGCTTCAGGCAAAGAAATGCCGATTCGCTGCATCTAGGGGGGTGTATGGGTGGACTGCGCCTGCGCCCCCCCCACAAAAAAAGGCCCCCACTCACAACCTCCCCTCTCTACCTTCGCACAAAGCACATACATATTTAAATCCAATCCTCTAAGCTATTATTTTTTTTAAATTCCAGCATGGCTTCAACACTGCAAAAGAAAACAGAACTCAGGGCAAATGGGCGGCTTCAACAAGACCAGCTGCATGTAGTAGGAGTTCCGCTCCTACCTCCAGTTCAGCCTGTCCCGAGGCCAGATTTACATGAAATCCACTTGCTTTTCTGCCGAACACCCTCAGGAACAATCGGTGTATGCCGTCAACCAAGAAAAAGAGTAAGGGGACTGCTCAAAAGTCCCTTACCAACTACTTGTTGCAGACTCAGGAGTGGGGCAGCATGGCACAAAATGGCGCCGGAAGTCAGTCCCCTCTGCATCTCTCACACGATTCAGCAGCCATAACACTTGCACAGGACCGTGAGTACAAACAACAGCTTACAAAAGGGGAATTTAGAGAACAGCATGGACTCTATGTACACTAAATTGGCTGCAAAGTTTCAATCTGAGTTTCGTAAGAGCACTAATGTCCTTTCCCAGGAAATAGCAGCACTTGGGGCTAGAACTGACCATTTAGAAACAAAGCATGATGGAACTTAGTTTGGCCTATGGCGAGCTTTCCAGAGACTACGAACTTCTGTACACTGCCTTTAATCAGTTGCAGGCGCAAGTGGAAGATTTGGAAAACCATAACTGCAGGAATAACCTGCGTATCCGTGGTGTACCCGAGACAGTTACGGATCTTACGCAGGCCTTGCTAAAGTTATTCAAGTCACTTCTCCCTGATACAGAAGCTAAAGCCTTTGCTTGTGATCACATACATAGCGCGTTATGCCCCAAACCACCGGCGGGACTAACCCCTTGTGACATTGTCCTGTGCATGAAAGATTTTCTGGTTAAAGAAGACCTTCTTAAGGTTGCCTGTAACACCCCAGTGATTTTCTTGGATGGTTCACCACTGCAAATATTTCCAGATATTTCCCAGACCACTTTGGAGAAGAGGCGCAAGATGAAGGAGATCATTGCAATCCTCTCCTCTGCTCGCATATGATATAAATGGGGTTTCCCCTTTAAGCTGATAGTTCCTCATAAAGGGAGCTCATATATGGTCACTACTCTTTCAGAAGGCCAGGAGATTCTGGTGAAGCTGGGCCTGGCAGAAGCTGAAATGCCTTAACGACCTCCCTCTACTCCCCGGATATCCCCTATCTGGAACGCACCATCTCCGCGGCAAGAAGACACGAAGCAACGTGATGTTAAGCTTATCTACTCAATGTTTCGAATTTCATCCCACTATAGTTGATATCCAGGACATTCCCTCTGTACTCCTAATAGAGTCTCCCATGCTAAAGGAGGTCCTTACTATTACCTGACTTGCATCATTCCAATAATGTGTGCTATATCTATTTAACCTTTTGCTTACAGGCTGTGGAGGAAATGCTACTCTACCCCGTTACCACTCATGTTTAGAGGTGATTTTTTTTCCCTCTGTGGAGCTATTTTCCGTGCCCCCATGTTTCTTGGCGGTGGAGTCCCTGAATATTATGGTTTTCTGTTTTTTCAGGTCTGGGTGATTGGCTACCTGATCTATGGTTTACTAATGTCATCTTTGAGGTGAAAAGAAAACAGAACTCAAAAAAGAAAAGGAAAATTGGACAGGCAACTAGTTTTATATCGAAGCAAATGCTAAGGTACTCTGCTTAATTTGTAGGGAATTTGTGGCAGTTTTCAAAGACAACTTGAAAAAGCACTATATACAAAAACAAGCCAACAAATTCAAGGCGTATCAAGGATATGCCCTGGTGGCCACCAATGCACCCAAAGCGGCCGGCGTATAGTACAGATTCGGTTTTAAAACAGATTATAAACACAATGTCCAAAGAGATAGCCAGACCAAAGTCGTTCAAAGGAGCTTATTTCATACTGAAGTGATGTTAAAACACAATTTCAGGGGCTCCAACGCTTCCAATAAAAGTGGCCACCCGCCCAAGTCTATAACTGGCTTATGAAGCAAGGACACAAACAGGCATCACATAGTGAATACGGGGGAGAGAACAATGTTCTTGGACAACTTGCCAGCCAGCTTGCTAACAACCGAATTAACCTGTCTAACAGTATGCGTTTATAACAGGGGTTTAGTTAGCACACATTTGCAAATACATACGTGGCTCTGTGGCTAACTAAACCAAGAACATTGTTCTCTCCTCCTTATTCACTACGTGATGCCTGTTTATGTGTCCTTGCTTCATAAGCCAGTTATAGACTTGGGCGGGTGGCCACTTTTATTGCATGTTTGAGTTTTTGGTACGTGGGTGCACTAGGACCCTGGTTGCCATTGTGCTACATGCTGGGGTCCAGTGCACTCCTTTGCCTTTAAGAGGGGTGGCTCCCTCAGGTTCACCTGCCCTTGATCTATCCATTAAATGCATGTGCCTCTACTATGGGGACTCACAAATTGTAGAGTTAGGACCACAGATTATCAGGGTGCTGTGTCGTGGCTCTGTGGCTTACGTATGTATTTGCAAATGTGTGCTAACTAAACCCCTGTTATAAACGCATACTGTTAGACAGGTTAATTCGGTTGTTAGCAAGCTGGCTGGCAAGTTGTCCAAGAACATTGTTCTCTCCCCCTTATTCGCTCCAACACTTCCCCCTTTCATCAGGGCTGGAATTCTGCATAAACTCAAGATGAACAGACTCAATTTGGGGATACTGTTAGAGAAAAAAAGTGGGCAGATGTTTTTGTCACTGGTCAGTAGCTAATTGCAGCAACAAGACATCAAAACAGATAATGACTCAAGACATAGCCCACTGACATCCAACAGGGAATATTTAAGTGACAGGGACCCTTTAGTTGAAGTAAATTTAAGTATACGCAAGAGTAGAAATAACGGTCCTGTTTTATATCAAAGAACCACAAATGTTGCTCTTATCTGTGTGTCATCATTGAGATTGGAGATATATTAGGAGTGAGAGTTCACCAGTTAAAGATACAATTTCTCGCATTTTTTGTTCATCAGTTAACTGACAACTATCATGGGATGTCCCGATAGTTGAGAGCAGCAGCCCTGCTGATGGCCAGCCCTTGCAGATTAGGATATATAATAAGGACACTTCCAGTTTCTCTTTAGACATGCATGCTGCTTCTGTCCTTGGAGCTGCACATAGGGAAAAAGAAAAAACAGGAGCACCTGCTGCACTACAACTGGTTTCAGTTTGCAGCTCCAAAGATAGGAATTAGATTGTATACAGCAGATTCCCAAGCCAAAACAGCATATATTTCATTGGTATGTATTAAAATGAATTGGCATACAAGCTGGTCCTTCTGTACAGCACACACTCTCAACCCTTTTACCTCAGCAGAACCCTTTAAATAATTTTCTTGACTCTGGAAACCCCTGCTAAAATCAATTCATCGGGGGTCAGTGGGAAGGCTACTTGCATTTGTGGCAATGGAGAAGAATGCCCCTTACAAACATCTAATGCTATGCCATTGGTTCTACCAAAGTGGTGTAAGAACCTGGATTATGCAGGCACCGTCAGATGAAAGGTCAATCAGGCACAGCTCATCTAACCCTTAGCAACCTCTGAAAGAACTGTAGGGTTCCATGGAAACATGGCTAAGAATGGCTGCTGTACAGAATCAATAGGGCTTATGCTATTCTACACTATTGTATGATATACAGTTGTGTTTAAAATAATAGCAGTCCAACATCACTAACCAGATAAATCACTGTTCTGGTATAAATCATATTTCTACATAGCAAATCATTTACTAGCAAGTGTAGTAGAGTAATAGAAAACCAACAGACCCAACAGTCATAACATGCATGCTGGCAATGCTGTGTAATTGAATCACTAATTGAAAGGGGCATGTTCAAAATAATAGCAGTGTGGAGTTCTATTAGTGAGGTCATTAAGTCTGTGAAAAAACTGGTGTCAAACAGATGGCCCTTACTGAGGAATCAAGGCAGAAAATGTAATGCTGGGTATAGTGAATTTCTCTCTGAAAATCTGAGAAAAATGGGTTGTTCCAGACATTGTTCAGAAGAACAACGTACTTTGATTAAAAGTTTTATTGGGAAGGGGAAAACGTATAAAGAAGTGCAGAACCCGATGGCCTGCTCAGCTAAAATGATCTCAAATGCTTGAAAATGGCAACCAAAACTAGAAAGACGAGGAAGAAAATGGAAAACTACCATTCAAATGGATCAAAGAATAGCCCAAATGGCAGAGACTCAGGAAGATCAAAGAAGGTCTAAAGTTACCTGTGAGTACTGTTACAATTAGAAGACGCCTATGTGAAGTCAAGCTATTGGCAAGCAGCCCCCGCAAAGTCCCATTGTTGAAAAACGACATGTGCTGAAGAGGTTACAATTGCAAGGTTGCAAGAACACATTGACTGGCCTACAGAGAAATGGCGCAAGGTTTTGTGGACTGATGAAAGCAAGACTGTTCTTTTTGGGTCTAGGGGCCGCAGACAGTTTGTCAGACGACCCCCAAACACTGAATTCAAGCCACAGTACACTGTGAAGACATCATGATGCAAGCATCACGATATGGGGATGTTTCCTATACTATGGTGTTGGGCCTATTTATCGCATACCAGGGATCATGAATCAGTTTGAAAACAACAAAATACTTGAAGAGGTCATGCTGCCTTATGCTGAAGAGGAAATACCCTTGAAATGGGTGTTTCAACAAGACAACGACCCCAAACAAACCAGTAAGCGGTGGTTCCAGAGCAAGAATAACGTTAAGGAGTGGCAAGCCAAATCCCTGGACCTTGATCCAATAGAAAATGTGTAGGGTGACATAAAAAAAGCATTTTCTGAGGAAAACCCAAGAAATGCAGAGGTATTGTGGAATTTGGTGCAATCGTCCTGGGCTGCAGTGCCCCTTCACAGGTGACAGAAGTTGGTCGACTCCATGCAACACAGAGGTGAAGCAGTTCTCAAACGGCGGTTATACAACTAAATATTAGTTCAGTGATTCACAGGAAAGCTAAATCCTCAAGCATTTTTCAGTTTATACAGTAAATGTTTGCGTTTAAGAAACATGCAGACACTACTATTTTTGGAACAGCCTAATATTCCTTTTTCATCACTTTCTGTAAAGTAATAAATTTGGAACATATTTCTTTGTGTTTTGATTTGTAATAGACTGTGCAGTGTTCCCAATGCATTTGCATGTATGGAAATAAAGGCTACTATAAGGATTGTGAGCTTTATTTTGAACACAACTCTACATGAATGCAAGCATTACCCGTACCTTCATTGGCTGATCCAGCTGCAGCTTTGCAAGAACTCTTCTCCTGTGTTCGGTTAGCATGCCTTCTATCTTTCTCATGTGCGGAAGAAGCACTTCGTCTGAAAGCAAAAACAGAACAGCAATGCAGAATTACACTTCCAGATGTGAAATTCAACTACATTGAGGCAATACAGTTAAGATGGACAAATCTACAATTCTAAATTCAGATGTTGGAAGTACAAATCCCATCAAGCTCGGCATGCAGCACATTAATCAGCTTTATGCTATGACAGACTTTTAGAGAAACCAAAAACAGGATCCAACACAAGTTTAACAGGAGCATAAAAATACTAGATCCTGCCAAAAATCCAAGGAGCTGTAACTGAGCCTGCAAACTTGCCTAGTTTACCTGTGTCAATTACTGCATGCCAACCCTCCATGTTATGAAGATGAGTAGAGGAAGAGGTGTTCTGTAGTTCAAATAAGCAAGACAGTAGCCATGACAGCTGAAGCAGACTGAAGAAAGAGCCTTAGGAGCAATGAGCTCCTTCAGGAAACCAGGCAGCCTTTGGGACGGGCTTACAATGGAGCTTCTTTCCACGGGGAATAAAGGCAGTAAATGGGAATTCATTTTAATGGGGATTAATTTTAGGTTAGGAAATAAATGGAACTTTTCCCTGCTACTTTAAGGGACGCTTGTACTATTTTTGTGAATTTTGTTATTGAAATGTGTGTGTAACTGGATGTGATTTTATTTGTGTTGGAGTTCCTCTCATTGTTTGTAATTTCATTGTGGAATTTATTCACAATGACCATAAATTAATCTTAAAAAAAAAAAAAGAAAAAAGAAAAAAAAGATTTGTCACAGGGAAAGAACAAACATATCCTTGACCAAGAGATATGTGCATTTATACCCTTGTTATGGTGAAGATTCAAATGATTATCCATTCAAGTGTGTTCCCAACTAACACCAAACCTACCCAATTCTTCACTTCCCAAATTCAGTCTAGAAAAATGACACTATTAGATTTATCTCTCAAAACCTCGATACAAACATAAATAGAACGCATGTCATACCATTGACTTTTTCCAGATTCTGGATTGTGTCTGCTTCTAGAGCAACACCAACAAGCAGCTCAATGTATCCCTTAAATGTTTCCTTCATTGCTCTTGTGTTCAAAAATCGAGTTATGATTGGAGGTGGTGGAGGTTCAAACTCTGGAACACAAAGTGAATGAAAGTCAGCGCTAGGAAACAAGTTTAGCGATTCAAGCACTCACAACCGCTCACGGATTCAGAATAGAATATATTTACGGAAAAAGTACCTTAGTGTCTAGCCCCTTCTTTCATTACCTTACCTTCTTCATCACTCTGCATGTCTGGAGAAGAATCAGACTGTGAAGAAGAGAACTCCTCTTTCCACTGCTTCCTCTTCTTTGGTGGAGGTTCAGCCTTTGTCTTTGGCTGTTTGGCTTTTGGTTTTGCAGACACGACTTTTGGAGGTGTGGTTTTCGGTGGAGGAGTTTCTGCTGCCGCTTTGTTGGCTGCACTGACCTTATTGTGAGACGTTCGACTGCAGAAAAATTACAAAGGAAAGTTACCATATGTACATTATTTAGAAGGTCTACCTATATTCAGAGCCAACTTCCTCTAGGCCACAAACTGGTATTCTAGCAAGGCACACTGGAAAATATGTCACCACTATATAAATGAAATAGTCTGATACCTTTACCGCAGTCGATTCTCAATGATCACTGAATGTTTAAAAGCTGAGCTCGGGCAGGAAAAAAAAAAAAAAAAAAAACACCAATGCAGCTTGATATTCATTAACTTACCATTCCATGTACTTTTTCTTAATGCAGTGTAAGTACCCAAGGATGGGCAGGGTTGGAAGTTAATCAGGTGTGTTACGTGCAAATGTACTATGAAGGAAAAGGCTGATAGCAGCAGAGTGAGAAGCGGGATGAGCTCATCAGTCTGCTACTGCTCTTTCATTGACAGACGGTGCAGAGAAGACTGTGTTCCTTGCTACAATTACCAAAAGTAACAAGAGAAAAGTGGTGTCATCCACCTGAATGGTAGGGGGCTGTGCAATCCCAGGGCAGCAATGACAGAAATCAGATTTTTTGGGGTACATAAAACAGCTATTTCATCTATGTATTTATGAATTTGCCTGGGGTTCAGCTTTAAATTATTTGCTAGTCTTATATTTAGATAAAAATTAACACTATAGATATCTAGGCCAGACTTCCCAAGTGAGTACTCTGTTTCTTAAAATACATAATTACCTTATTAATAGAAAACTATTTAAATCAGCGCAATTCATGACATTTTGTGTCGCCCTCTATATCTGAATGCCAGAATTTGTATAATTTGCAGCCTTAAATAAAATACTACTCCCAGCATTGGAAATAAAAGTAAATCAAATCAGTATCCTGCTAATGCATTGGAAGCAACACTACATTTAAAATTAAGTGAAGCCCACTCAACTTATTAAGCTATAATTTATTACACCTCCTGTCATTTGCAAGACTGTTCAGAATGTTCTTGTGCAACCTCCCTTGTATACTCAAATATCTGTGCTGAGCCTACAGCTTACTCCCCCTCCCCCTTGCATACGGTACTGATGTTTGAGCATCAGTATTTCTAGATGAAATTTCAGGGGCTGTATTTGTGCACATTTGCATGCTAGCACAAGATACTGACCAGGAATGCAAATTTTTTTCGATTTTTTTTCAAGAATACGTAGCGCTTGGTTATGCGCCCGTGTGTACAGGCACACTGTAAACAATGGACTGCATTTTAGATCGGGGGAAAAAAAAAAAAAAAAAAAAAAAAAAAAAACACGCTGTCCTGAGCTTATTCAAGGTACAGTGTGCAAGAGGCTTTATGGTGTCTCCAGAGTTAATTTAAAATACACATTACATTAAGATACAAATTTACATGTTTAATATAAAAAAAAAAAAAAAAAAAAAGAAGAAGACCGTTCTAAACCAGAAAGTAGTGACCATGTGCTTCATATGTAATTGCCTGAAAAGAAAATACATATACCTTGGAGCAGGTGGTGCCTTTGCTTTGGGTTTCCGGGAGCATACTCTCACATACTCCTTTTTGTTTGCATTCTCCACGAACTTCACATATACCCTCTTATATTTTGTTTTGGCATCTCCAAAGTAACCAAGGTACTGCATAATTGAGAAACAATGAAGAAACATGAGCATGGCAGTTTATAAAGGTTCACTAGAAAAAGATTTCAACTGCTCAGCACAGCTAAGTTGTCTATTAGAGAGATACCATCACTTTGGCCATTCAGGGCAAACTCATTCGCTTTCCCCCACCGCCACCTTGCTGTAGCATTCCGCTTTGTCTAAGCGCCAGGGAAGACGCTTAGATGGGAGTGACATTGAGGCACCTGGCCTGACAGTATTCGGGTCTGGTGACTGACTGCTCAGGCCTGAGCACTGTCATGTTTTCCTATACCTGAAAGCTCCTCTATTAGTGATGGGCTCTAGCAGTGCATGGTGGCGGTGAGGCAGCACATTAACAAAAGAAGCACCTCTTGTCCTACAGCGCACACTGCAACACACGGTAATGCATTAACATGCTCTGCAATGCTTGTGTGTCAGAGGTGTGCTGCCTTAGTTTGTTGGTTTGACATTGAATGTAAACAGCAACACAACACCCTAACGCCAACTGACTGGTGTGAATGGGCCCTAATTGTTTATGTTTGATTTGTAATTCAGTTACTTAGCATTATCTGTATTCACTTTGACATTATAGTCTGTATAATCAGCACAATCTGATTATAGAAAACAAGAAATCAGGGTAATACAATTTGGTTAAAGCAGTAGTAAACCGCAGCCTTTTTAAGAAAAACCCTGCAAGACAATGACATAACGTGCTAGTATGCATTGCATATTAGTACACTAGGAGATGCTTACCTTAGAACAAAGCCCTCCAGCGGCACGCTGTCACCACTGCCAGGGCTTATCTTCACCTGGTCTTCTTTCCAGCTTGCATGCTCTGGTCATCTGAATGGCCGAGCCACGATGACGTCACTTCCGTGCAAGGATGTTTCAGCTGCGGCACAGAGCTCTGAAGAGACGGTACAGGTATGCTGTCCCTTCAGAGTGCATGCACCAGTGACGTCACTGGCTGCATGCAGTGTGAATATCTCCTAAAGGGTGCAAGTTTAGGAGATATTCACCGTACCTACAGTTAAGCCTTCCTATAGGCTTACCTATAGGTACAAGTTTACAAAAAGACTTCCACTTTAGGGAAAGGGGCAGATAAAGATTGAATACAATCAAAACATGACACCTGTAGAGCTACAAGGCTGCCTGTCTGTACCAGACATAAAACTTACACTGTTTGTGGCAGCAAAGGTCCTCTGTTCTTCTCGAATTTCAGGGATAAATTTCTGAAGCAAGGCCTTTTGCACTTTCCAAATAGCAGGAGGTTCCTTGCCAGTAAGCAATGCTTCCTGAAATCACAGAAAGAGGAGACATAAGTCATACAGCTCCACAATTTAGCCTAACAAGTACTTGTTTTGAAATGTTGCTGCAGTATAACCTCTCTCATTGGATAGTGCAGACATAAAAAGCACACTTTTCCCTACAGCTCTGTTGCTGTTCTACACCCTGAAGTCAACAGGACATTAGGGATACCCAAATGCAATGAAAAGTAAAAAGTAACATTCTATACAAAGCTGTTAAGTCTGGTTGTAGTTCCTAACCATTGGACTCCTATAATCTTTATATTGATGTTCCTCACCAAAATGCCCTATGTTAAAGGTACATTAATAAATGATGTATGGTAGAACTAGCATCCAACACTTATCTAGTCAGGGGCTGAGTCTCTGTATGCTATTGCCGTCCTTTTTCGAGGAGATACAGGTTTATCTTCTCTGTTCAATTATTAGGAGTTAAAGTCTGGAGCTCTACCAGTGTCCGGATCATAGCCAGTTTGTGGAATTATCCAACGGGTGTTTTATCCATCTACCACGGAGGGCCAGTAGATCCTTTGATGTCAAAGTGTCCAGGTCCATGGCATGAGTTTGGATTTTGACCCAACTTTTTTGACCCAACTTTAATCGGGGGTCAATTTCATCTGGTAAGAAGGCAGAATTTTTTGGGTGTGTGGGAGATGGTGGATTTTCTTCATCCTCTTGACCAGATTTCAAGCATCCATGACAACATTGATGTCCCGTTAAAGGGGCTTTTTCTACATTATATCTCCTTCGCATGTGTATTGGACTTTTCATTTATTCCATGTATTTGCACTCATTTTTTGGTTATTTGAAGCGCCACACTTACGTTTTACTAGTTGATATATTGTTACCTGCAATATTAAGGTGGCTGCTTATGTTCTATTGATTCTTTTACGTTAGAGAGTCATATATATACTATAGCGCAGAATTTTTAAGTTATACTTTTTTACTCATCTAGTCATGCTATCAATTAGGAACCAAATAGAATGATTCCTGATCATGTAACCACAATAACATCCAATTATATGCAGTATATTACATGGTTTATTGACAAACATGCAGACCATCTTAAGCAGACCATAGACTAGTTAAAAAAAAACGAACGAAAATTCTTAGTCATTCGTTTTTTGCAGCTTTACTGTGCCAGCTGTGACACGACGATTTTCGTGTAGCATTCGAAAGTACCTGATCCAACATGCTGGATTTTGTTTAGAAAAACAAAACAAACGATGGCACAATCGTATGGGCCATTTTTTGTTTTTCAGTCAACAGAACGTTTTCGGTTTTTGACTTGTCTATAACCTCCTTTAGATTTCCTTGTGCTTGCACAGAGAGAAGCACTTTGACTGCAGTGATAAAAACACTTTAAAACAAAAGCATGAAAAGTTATTATAAGCCGTCAGGTCTGAATTATTTTATTTTTTTTTTTTTGTCACATTTTGTACAAAAAAAAAAAAAACAGGGCACGATGTTTATCAAAGTAGTGTATCAGCTTAAAGTCTTTTCTGTCCTTAGACTGTGACTAATATGCCTATCTAAATGATTTTTACACTGTCAAGCTGATATATACTGAAAGTGCTAAATTTGGCCTAGGTTTCAATTACCTCGGCAATAAATAGCATTGGATAAAGGAGGATACCCAATTTAAGCCCCCCCCCCCCCCCCCTTCACACTGGGTGTGAATTGACAGATCAAAGTTGCATGACAAGTCACACCCTATTTGCCACTACGGAACCATTCAAATCGATGGGACTTGAGTCGCAGGTTCCTAAACTAATTTTGTGTGATTTCATGTGCAACTTACATTGACATCTGTGTATGAATGACAGCAAGCCATACACGAAGTCACACTGATCGGCGGTTTAAAAACTGCGCTGAAGTAGAGTGACTTTAAAGCCGCATCCGGTGTGAACCAGAGCTCAAGATCTCTCAGATTCCCCAGGAGACATAAAAGCGAAGAATATATCCATCCAACAAACCTAAAAAGGCCATTCAAAAAAGGAGCAGCTCAGCAGTAGCAGACCACTTTTTTGTCCAGGTTTACTGAAAGGGTCAAATATGTCCATATCTAATATTTTTCAGTGTGGTGTGGTTTGGGCGTAATGGCATGTATGACAAAATGTTTTCAAGCAAGAAACAGCAATCAACTAGCATTTTCTCAATAGCAAAAGGATAGAATACGCTTTTCCCAAAGCCTTAAATCTGGTCACCCTCATGGAATATTGGGTGATAAATGCCAGCAGGGGCTTGTCCTCTGCCACACAAACTTCAAAAATGTAAAATATAAGACCTGGTAACTTTATTCAGACAATGAAGGCATGTACAGAGTCCTCACCTGGGACCCCTCCTTCTCTGATATGTTTCATCCACAAGGATGGGCTTAAAGTGGAGCTTAACTTACCTTTTCTTCAATGGTCACAGGTCCCTTGCTGGCACCTACTTTTGTGTGCCGGTCTTTGGCAGTCTTCATTGGCTGGTGCTGGATGACGTTACATGTCAGTCAGTCATTCTGACACACAAGGTCTGTGCTGGAGATGCAAGCTGAGCTGCACATGTGCAGTTTCGTTTACCTGCCAAGGAAGACGGCGAGCACATTGCATATCTCTTCTGAAATATAGAACTAGCCTGCTTGCGCTTTGGGGCAGTGGACTTTAGTTTCAATTTAACAGTAGAAACATGTCAGCAGAGTTCCCAGATGGGGACTTTCTGTTCATGCTATCTGAATTTTCTTCACAGCGCAGCCAGTCCCTATTCTCTTGATTTGTAGCATTTTCACAATGTCAGCAACATGAGGTGAAGTTAGTGAAATTATAGCAGAGCTACACAGCACCTGAGCACCTCAAACCAAAAAACACCAATTTTTTAAAAGGCTCAGCTTTAGTGACATGTTACACCAGTATTCAGGGTGTAACATGTTAATAGCTCAGCAGTCCCGCACCCCCTGATCCCCCATTGCGACAGGAGGTAGGAGTTCTTCTCCCTGAACCTGTTGACACAATTTAAAAACAGTGCAGCTGTGAGGGGCTCCGCACATACACTAGAGTCATTCATTCACAGAGTCCTGTGAATGAACTACAAGGTTTGTCTGCAACTGTAGCAGAAGGCTGGTAGTTCTTGTACTCTAGCACAGAGGTGTCAAACTGTGGCCTACCAGCTGTTGAACTACTACAAGTCCCATGAGGCAATGCAAGGCTTGCAGTTAAAAGCTCCCAAAGGCAGAAGCATCATAGGCCTTGTAGTTCCCACAACAGCTGGAGGTCCGCAGTTTAACAACCCTGCTCTAGCATTTCTGGTCAGGGCCATCTTGAGCAGGGTGGATAAAAATCAATGATTTGAAGGGAAAAAAAAAAAAAAAAAAAAAAAAAAAACGGATTTTTTTTTTTATTTAAAATCGGATTTTTTTAAATAAAATGCTTTTTGAGGAAAATATATTACCTTTCAAAGGTTATTCCATCATTAAATAAATATTAGTTTTTTAATTATGTAGAATAAGGCTGTATAGGTTTAATTTTTTGGGTAAATAAATTCCATGAATCCATTCACAATGTCATGCTCTTCCAGAGGTTTTTGTAAGATTATTGGGCAGTTTCTCTGCCTACAAGATATTATCACAGATGATTGGTTTACTTTTGCAGTTCTCAAAAATGAATTTGACTCAGCGGAGATCACATGCCTCTTCTTCACAGCAAAAATGTTATAACATGAACAGAGTTAAGAAAAAGACCTTAATCCTAACTTCTTTAAACTGGGGATAAAAAAACTAATATGAAAAGTTATTCTAAAAATCTTCATCTACTTGCATATTAAAGTTATACCAGCAAGAATTAGTCTATGTAGAAAACTAGGATTTAAATCAAGCCTTACTGACTAGTGATTTAAATCGTGATTTAAATCGTGGTTTAAAACAGTTTGATTTAAATCAAATCCACCCTGATCTTGAGTAAGGGCAGATGATTCGTGTAGCATTTTCGTCCTGGAATCTATCTGCCCTTAGGTCAGGCATGTAGGCAGGTGAGTGTGCATAGCTGAGAGAAAACCTCTCCTCCCCTCCTGAAGACTCCTGGGATGTATAATAGCATTTGCCTAGGCCTGGAAACCAGGAAGTAACTGAAGAAATTAAAAAAATAAATAAATTGTTTAAAACAAATATAATATACCTTCCTATTTAACGTTAACATTGACTGTTTTTAATCCTTACAATGCTAACTGTAAGACTAAGGTTCCACTTTAAAGCACCTCAGATACAAACACACTGTGCCAGGGGCAGACTGACCATTTGGAAACTCAGGCATTGCCCGAGGGCTTGGGGTCAGTAGGGGGCCCCATGAGATGCCCCTGGTACCTTTTTCATAGGCTTTTTTGAGTTTGGGCAAGGACCCAGGGGCCCCATGATCCCCTATTGCCCGGGGGCCCCATGAGTTGTCAGTCCACCCCTGCACTGTGCCTAATGTATAAATATCAACCTACAGCAGCCAGACATGTATGCCTTTTCTATAGAGAATCATTCTTCTATAACAGTCATTCTGTGGTCACCATAGGTAGTGCAGGCACACCTATCAAATTTATACAGATTGCCTTATTGACTTAACAAGAGAAATAAATGATTGACTCTGAATTCTAAAAAAAACTTACTTTGAGCATATCTATATCTTCAATCTTCACCACAAACTCGTCTCTCTCCCGATAAACACCCTCTCCCCCGCTTTCTGTGCCCTCATCATCCGTGCATCCTTCGATTGCAATGGTCTCCTGTGATTTAGCCAGTAGTTCGGCTGGGACAGGCTCACTGGGGGCCTCTTTCACTGTATCCTGGGTGTTCTTGGGTGAGGAGACAGGTTGGGAATCTTGCTTTCCTGAAGAAGCCACCTTCTCTGCTTTTTTGGATGAAAAAAAAAAATTACTATTAGTAAAATTAACTCAGATGTGTTTCCACTTGCTGGGGAGCATTCCCATCCTCTTCCAGAACAGATATTTGCCTTGTGATGTTTTTTTGGCTCTGTTCCCTGGAAGGATTTACTTAGAAGATTATACTTGATTTATGGGTAACCCTGACAAGTCAGAGAACTTATTACCAGCATTAGAATTATTCAGCAGCAGTAATTAAACAACACAGCCTTCTCATCATGTCATACTGTGATATACATGTCAGCAAAGGCATTCCTCCTCTTCACTGAACTCAAAGCAATAAATTATGGCCACCAAGAAGTTTGAAGGGAAAGAAAAGCAGTGGATTATACAAAGCGGAATGAACTAGACTGTCTTAAAACAAACCAGTAACAAACTGCATTAACTTCAACACCACGTGGACACCTACTTTAAAGAGACCCTGTCACCTACTAAAAAAATGCAGGTAAAAGCATGGAAAGTATCCTAAATGCTTACTTTCATAATTTTTCCATTACATAATCTTTCTTTGATTTCCAAGGTGCCTGTGAACTTGCCAGGGAAATGACACTCCAGAAAGTGTCAATTTCCTAGCACAGGCCCCTCCCCCTTTCAAGACAGAGCCCTGTCCTTTTCGGCCTGTGTGAATGAATAGACAAGGAATACTGTCAGCCATTGCGGCTGATGGTTTGTAGTTCTCAATGAACTGTGAGGTCTCTGATGAGAGCTCTGGTAGTTCATTGGTCTAAATGCTCTTTAAGTAACTGCCTGCCCGTATGGAGACAGCTATCCTGAGAGTCTGCAGGAGCCTGACATTGCACCCATGATCTGCTGATAGCAGTTGCAATACTCAGCAGGATCCTTAGAAAAAATAATAAAGGCACAATTTTTTATCTGCAAAAAAAAAGTGCATTTAATATTTTTTTTTTTTTGCTTCAAAAGGTGCACTTAGCCTTTAACCATTTATGTAGCACCCGGGGGGGAGTGAAGGGGAATACCATAGAGTGTTACTTGAGTGAATCTGCTAAGGCTAATGACATCACATCCAAGATGGTGGCTTCATATTCTTCTACTCTTTTTCTGGTCTAGTCTCTTGCAGGGAGAGGGACAGGCTTTGCCATCAATGAATCTGACTTTTTTTGATTATAACTGCTTAGCCACATTTGCACAGTATCTAGCTCTATTAAAGAGATTTGTGTTTGGATTTATATGGGAAGCACATAATGTCTACCATTTTTGGAACGCCTTCTCTACAAATCACATGGCCAGGAGTGCAAATCAAAATATTAAGGCCCCCTTCACACTATTTATTTATTTCAGGTACTTCTATAGTGCCATCAATGTACGCAGCGCTTTACGTATATATTGTACATTCACATAAGTCCCTAACCCTCAAGGGGCGTACAATCTAAGGTACTTTGCTGTTCCACTGTGATGCATAGTATACAAGTTAATGTGTTACATTAAGGCAGCTATATTATAAAGAACGGGTTGCCATCACATGGCAAAAAAAAAAAAAACCCAAAAAACAAACCAGCACTTTTTTATGCAATGCATCATATTTTAAGGCATGTGTGTTGTGGTGTACTGCAGTGTAAGTCTGTTGCCACCTACTGTGCTTGAGCATTAGGGTTCCATGTAATTAAAGACAACACAACACACAAAAGTGAAGTAAATTGCCCATGACTAACACGTATGTCCAAAGGCTAAATACACTTTCATATAATGTAATCCTAATGACCACATCCCCATGCTAAATAACTCCTTTATATACCTTAGGTTTGTGGGTGATGCAGTCTGGGAGCCTACACTATATCAGGCAGTGCTCAGTCAAATAGAGAAGCCTCCCTTTAGGCTAGAATCACATCTGTGCAGATGGTGCCACTGCAGGACCCGCACAAATACCGGAGGCCGCAACCACCCACACATAGAAATGCAGGATCCACAGGTGGGTGCTATTAATCCTAATGGCACGCTGCTCGCACTGGAAATCGCACCCATACTGAAAAACTGGGTTCCCGTGCGGGCTGCGATCTAAAAAATAGTGCATGGACATCTTTCCAGCATGTCGCAGGGCATTGCAGCCCATTCATATGAATGGGCTCGTGTGCCCACGCAAATCGCGGCTCGCACAGCCACACAATGTGAACCTAGCCTTCGGCTTAAAAGGAAGACAGCTTTTTTTTTTTTTTTCATTTGGGCCTATGAAGAAACCAGTACTTCTGGCACTCTGCACTTTGACATCTCTCTGTCACCCAACTATTAAATCCCCCTGGCCTCTGAACCTCTCACTGCCTTCCAGCACCGTTGACACTGAATCCCAACACCCCAGACACTGCACCCGACTGCCAGCTTTCCTGGCTCTTTGAGGGAAACATTTTAATCCTTCAAATTCAACATATTCTAGTAGTTTACAACCATTTTGTATATTTTACCCTATACTAACTCTCTACTATCTGACATACATACATTCCTACATTCGTTCATGGAACTGTTCCACCTGTACTCATGTACTGCATTGCTTAGTTACAACTTTGCTTCTATTTACCTTGCAAGAACATTTGTAACGTTGCATCCTTTCTACGTAAGAACAGGTATAAAACTCAACCATGCCACAATGGATTTTAGAACAGCTTTGAAAACATGTTCAGTGTGTGTCTGTTCCCTCGCTGCAGTAATACCGATAAGAGCAATAGGGAGCCACTACTCCGTTCTTTTATGTGACCAACTAAATTTCCCCAACGCACACTTCAACACCCCAGACAATGCATCTTGCAGCCAGCCAGCACTCATACCAGGAAGCCCAGCCAGCAACAATGCCATTGCATACCTCAACACACCGCTCTCACTTGTCACCTCTGAAGGGATAAGCTGAGAGGAGAGGGCTGACTTTCTGGCCACTTCCTTTGGGACATCACCTCCTCCCCATTTCAGCCTGTAGAGGCTTTCAGTCCTCCGGCCTCTGGGGTTGTTGTGCACATTGTGTGTTCCCACAGGAAGGAGGTGCACAGCTCCAGGCTGAGATATTATGAACTCGTCCACCACCTCCATAGCTATGGAAGCCCTGCAAAATGGCAGACAAGTCCAGTGTACACATGTATTACCCCTTTTACTTTCAAGGCAAGTGTTCCATTTGAAATACAACACCACTGTTTATCACTATTTGTGAGAAGTCCATCGCTGTTCCCTGCAGTGATGTCATTTGCGCATGCACCTTTCTGCCCCAATCATGGCAGGCTCCCCAGACCCTGCATCCACTATATCCGGTCTCCCCGGACCCTGCATCCACTATATCCGGTCTCCCCGGACCCTGCATCCACTATATCCGGTCTCCCCGGACCCTGCATCCACTATATCCGGTCTCCCCGGACCCTGCATCCACTATATCCGGTCTCCCCGGACCCTGCATCCACTATATCCGGTCTCCCCGGACCCTGCATCCACTATATCCGGTCTCCCCACCTGCATTCACCCGGTGTCATCCACTATATCCGGTCTCCCCCAGGACCCTGCATCCACTATATCCGGTCTCCCCGGACCCTGCATCCACTATATCCGTCTCCCCCGGACCCTGCATCCACTATATCCGGTCTCCCCGGACCCTGCATCCACTATATCCGGTCTCCCCGGACCCTGCATCCACTATATCCGGTCTCCCCGGACCCTGCATCCACTATATCCGGTCTCCCCGGACCCTGCATTCACTATATCCGGTCTCCCCGGACCCTGCATTCACTATATCCGGTCTCCCCCTGACCCTGCATTCACTATATCCGGTCTCCCCGGACCCTGCATTCACTATATCCGGTCTCCCCGGACCCTGCATCCACTATATCCGGTCTCCCCAGACCCTGCATCCACTATATCCGGTCTCCCCAGACCCTCCACCCGGTCGGCACCCTATATCCGCATTCCACTATATCCGGTCTCCCCGTCTCCCCCCCGGACCCTGCATTCACTATATCCGGTCTCCCCCGGACCCTGCATCCACTATATCCGGTCTCCCCCGGACCCTGCATCCACTATATCCGGTCTCCCCGGACCCTGCATCCACTATATCCGGTCTCCCGGACCCTGCATCCACTATATCCGGTCTCCCGGACCCTGGCATCCACTATATCCGGTCTCCCCCCGGACCCTGCATCCACTATATCCGGTCTCCCCCGGACATCATCCACTATATCCGGTCTCCCCGGACCCTGCATCCACTATATCCGGTTCTCCCGGGACCCGGCATCCACTATATATCCGGTCTCATCCGGGACCCCTGCATCCACTATATCCGGTCTCCCCGGACCCTGCATTCACCGGTCTCCCCGGACCCTGCATTCACTATATCCGGTCTCCCTGAATCCCTATATCCGGTCTCCGGACCCTGCATCCACTATATCCGGTCTCCCAGGACCCTGCATCCACTATATCCGGTCTCCCAGGACCCTGCATCCACTATATCCGGTCTCCCCCCGAGCATCCACCCTGCATCCACTATATCCGGTCTCCCCAGACCCTGCATCCACTATATCCGGTCTCCCCGGTCCCCTGCATCCACTATATCCGGTCTCCCCGGACCCTGCATCCACTATATATCCGGTCTCCCCGGACCCTGCATTCACTATATCCGGTCTCCCGGACCCTGCATTCACTATATCCGGTCTCCCCGGACCCTGCATCCACTATATCCGGTCTCCCCAGGACCCTGCATCCACTATATCCGGTCTCCCCAGACCCTGCATCCACTATATCCGGTCTCCCCAGACCCTGGCATCCACTATATCCGGTCTCCCCAGACCCTGCATCCACTATATCCGGTCTCCCCAGACCCTGCATCCACTATATCCGGTCTCCCCAGACCCTGCATCCACTATATCCGGTCTCCCCAGACCCTGCATCCACTATATCCGGTCTCCCCAGACCCTGCATCCACTATATCCGGTCTCCCCAGACCCTGCATCCACTATATCCGGTCTCCCCGGACCCTGCATTCACTATA